AGCTCTTGGCTGGCCTGGGTGTGGACTGCCCAGGGTGGGGATGGTGCTGAGCCCTGTTCCTGTCTCACCCCAGAGATCTCCAAGCATCCGGTGAGTCACAGGCCAGGGGAGAAACTCTAGATGAGGCTGGGGGCTGAGTTGTTCCCCATATCACCTCCTGCTGAGATCCCAGGCCCTGAGGGTGTGGGAATGGGGCCCTGCAGGGGGCTCTGACAGGCCCAGCCCATGTGCCCTTTCCGAGGAGGCTAGTGGCCCAGACAGCCCTAGGCCAGCCCCCATCCTACTTTCTTGGTGCTCTGGAGGAGCCACCAGCTCAGGCCTGCCCAAGCTGGATGGGAAGGTTTCATCCCGCCTGGGAAAACCAGCCACAGCTTCTCGCAGCCCAGCTTTCTTCGCACTGAACTAACCCACTGCGTAGAGGATATGGAGCATGTCTGAGAGGCACAGGCAGTCCAAGAGACCACACAAGACACACTCCCTTTGCCACACAGAGCAGGGTAAATGCCAAGACTGACCCTGAGGTGTGCCAGCACTCACAGGGAGCCGAGAGCACAAACACTGCCCCCCCCCAGGTAACCTCTACACAGATAGCACCCCAGAGCAAACACACAAGCACAGGCAAGCCCTGCAGTAGGGCGTACACACACACACACACACACACACACACACACAGGGCAAGCTCAGACAGGACCCACAGAGACATCTAAGCAGTGACTCTGGAGGCGACCCTAGGCACCTGGGCACTCAGGTGGGATCACCACTCAGAACACTGCGGAGCCGGGACCAGCTCACACACACGAGATGTGTCTGAGACACTAGCCCGTGTCTGAGCTGATGCCCTCTCTTTGGCTGTGAGACCCTTGTGACTTGGTGCAGGCCTAGGTTAGAATCGCCCAGGAGGAGTTTTTTTAACCATGAGGACCAGGGAGGCCCAGCTCCCAAGCAGCCCTGCTCCTCTGGCAGCTCTTGCTGGGCTGGATTTTCCTGCAGGGCTTTTGATTTTGTTTTTGATCCAGTTGAGTGTTGATCGTGTGCCAGACACCATGCCAACACCAGGACAACGTGTGCAAAGTTGAGTAAAGCACTCAGTAAATGTGGGTTATTATGTACATTGTTATTTACATATATAATCTCATTTCTTCTCATAACAACTCTATGAGGCGAGGTGCTATTATCCTCATTTTACAGATAAGGAAAGTGAGGCTCCAAGACGTTAAGTGGCTTGTCCTGGTGGCAGGTGGCTAGTAAGTGACAGAGGCAGGATTTGAACCGAGGTCTCTGATTCAAGTTGCGTCTTAATCTCTCTCTCACTGAGACTCCCATTTGGGAAGCCAGCCCCACTGACCAGCCCTGGTGAAGTCCACAGGGCAGAGGGGATCGTGGAGGGCTAGGCCTTCGGGACACCATGGCTTTGAGTGTGAGCGTTTCAGGGCAGAGGGACAAAGAGGGAGCAACCCCAGAATGGGAAAGCCTGGTGTTGGGGGCCCCTCGCCTGCTTCTCGCTGGTGTTTTCTGTCCTTTTGCCATTTCATTGACTGTACTCCCAGCGTGGCTGGAGGAGGTGTGGTGGGCTCTTGAGCAGTGGGCTTGTTTGGAGGGCTGGGCTAGACCAGGGCCTGGCAGCTGGTGCCCTGGCTGTCCCTCCAGCCTGCCTGTGCTCTGTCTGCATGACCCTTGGCCGGTCCCCCCCACCTCACCCCAGCCTGAGTGAGGCTGAGCTGCCACCTGGACTTCAGCTTATCTCTGACCTTTGGCATTTCTGTGTCAGACTCCAGGAGCAGCCTCCTGCCCAGACTTACAGGACCCACCTGGGTAGGAATTCACCTCCTCTGTAGGCAGACAAGCACTGGCAAATTTGAACCAGCCCTTGCTGTCAAGACACTGTGGAGGGCTACAAAAGACGAGGAGGGGCTGCTGTAGCTACCCTGGTCTCACTGGCTCCTCCCGTGCCTGCTGGGCATCTTCTTTTCATTATCCCTGGGATACGAATGAGGAGACTACAGCTTGGTGTGATGACATCTGCCCTACAAGGACCTGCCTACATGGTGCTTCTCAAAGTGTGCTCCTTGGGCCTCCTCCAGAATCAGCTGGGAGCTCATAGAATTGCACCTTCTCAGACACCATCTCAGGTCAGCAGCATCCGAGTCTCCAGGGGCAGGTCCTGAATCTGGAGTTTAGATCTTCTAGGTGCTTTTGCTGCATCCTGCAGTTTGCAGACCAAGGATCCAGAAAGCTTCCCACTACAGCTGCTTTTTTGCTGTGGGGCTTTGTATAAGTTGCTTAAGGTCTCTGAGCTTCTATTTCTTCACTTGTAACCTGGGGATAGCAGCAGTTCCTACCTCACAGGGCCATTGTGGGCTCGCAGGGAATATCTACAACACATTTAGCACAGCACCTCCCTGGGGCAGGCTGGGTGCACTGTGGTGGTTAACAGGAGATGATTCTTCCCTGCAGAATGCAAAATGGTCAGGCTGCTTGTTCCAGAAGGCTGATCAGCTCAGTGGCACAAAGTAAAAGCAGCATAATTGGGCTCCAGTGTGTTGGGAAATTTTCTGGTTGAGAAAAGTGGAGAGTTAGTGCTGGAAACTTTCCTTGAGCCTCCCAGTGTGTAGAGTGCTGATAGGAAGTGGTAAGGAGTTGGGAATTTGAGGCAAAAGACCTTCAATCTTGTATGATTCTGGACTTCAGAGTTCAAAGAGAGGCCTTAACCTCTTCAGACCACAGCTGCCCTGTGTGGTTTCAGCAGCAGAGTTCAGACTCTGGATATTAGGCAGGACTTTGCCCTGTGAATTCCTAGTGCAGCCCCGGTTTTGACTCTGGTTCTACAGTGACAAGCCTCCTAACTGCAGATTCCCCTATAGATTCCTGCACTGGTACCTTGTGGTAGCACCTTCCCTCACCAGGAGACATGGTGAGGAACAGCCTTGGGAACGCCATCATTTCTGTTTGCTGGTGGGATGTCCCAGTGTGTTTGCTTGGAAGTCCTACCTAAGTGCTTCCTTCAGCATCAGTGGCTAGGAAAAAAGCTTAGCTTCCCCAGAAGGGCTGGTATGTGTTCTTCCTCTTGAATAATGAGGATAAGGTAACTTGATTTCCCTTTTCTCTTGGCCACTGGGAGGCTCACCATTAAATGCGGTGCCTATCTCCAATAGCTGTGTTGAGGACCTTATGACCTGCTTATGTGAATCTGTCCTTTGTTTCTGGTTTAGACATTTTCTTCAGATTTTTTTTTTCTGCTCCTGATTTTAGTGTTTATATTTTACCTTCTTTTCTTTGTATGTCCTTGCCCTTAGTGGAACCACACTGGGGGTATGTAAAAACACCCACCATGCAAACACACATGAGGCCGTATTCACAACTGCTTTGCTGGCATGTTGCACTTTTTGCTTCCTCAGCTTCATGAAACTATTTGTTTGCGTGGTTGTGATCCATCGGTCAGTTAGGAGATGCCTGGGGTTGAGCAGGGTGGCTGCTTTTTGCTTGTTTTTCTTTTCTTATCAGCTGCTTAGAATTTTTAAAATAATTTCTCTCCAAATCCTTTAGTCACTGAAAGCACAAATGGTACCCTGGTGGATAGATGTGTGCATTTCTTTTTATCTTCTTTCTCTCCTTCTAATTTATTTCTTTAACATTACGCAAGTATAACCTGTAGAATCCAAAAATGATAACAAGAGCAAAGGAAAAAAAATTACATATGATCCCACCAGGGATACCACTTTTCAACATTTTGTGATTCATCCTTCTGGATTTTTTTTTTCTATTTTTATATTTTTCCCACAAAAAATAGAATCTAACTATACATACTGTTTTATAATCTTAATTTTCATTTCATGGTAAATAATTAGTATCTTATTACATATTTTACAGCAATGAAAGATACTTAGAATTTATATCAAGGATACATGCTGTTAATTTTTTTTTAAGTGTACAATTTCTTATGAAAAGCAACAACTGCCTCAGTCTCCCCCAGGCCTGGGTGAAAGAGGCAGCGTTAATCATTCAGACTTATACGCTGGTTTCCTCCCCTTAAGTCAAATGCTTATTCCATGATTTCTTGGCTTATCTGACTTACTGGTTTGCTGCTGAGAACAATAAAGCTTTCCATCACTTTCATTACTCTTCCCCACTTCCTCCATACATTTTCTGCCACTCCATTTAGTCACTTCTGTGATTTAAAATAATATACCTAAGCCTCAGTTTCTTGTTCCACTAACATTGACAGTCCCTTATGGTCCTCGTTGCTCTCAGAGGAAGAGATGGAGACCACTTTTTCCTTAACTCCCCTCACCCGCAGCCTCACAGTGTCCGTCTGTTGTACATTCAAGCCTCTTAGGTCAAGGTTGGTAGTATTTACATTCTGTTTAACCATGAATCTTCCATGAGTGACTGTGAGGTGGTGCCAGGGGTTGAAGAGCAGTGCCCCGATGTTTACATTCCTCTGCCAATGGAGATCGTGTTCTCTGCAACCCACGGCGGTGGGCTGTGCTTACAAGACCTTCTCTTGGGTCTAATGCCACTCAAAGGAGAGTGTCAAATACACTTTCTTTGCTTATATTCTGTTAGGTGCTCAGAATCCATCACTTTATATTTTTGTTCACTTCATATTTTGACCATGCCTTTCTTATATAACTTTGTTTGCCTGTTTTTCTGGAATTTCTAATGCAACATCATTTTACCAGATGCATAGTATTCCAGCAAATAAAGTATTCAGATTTGTTTTCACCCAGTGCCCTGTGGATGGACATTTGGGTGGTTTCAATTTGTCATGAATATGTGTGGTGCTATAATTAATGTTCTTTTACATTCATCATTGTGTGTTTGTTTCTTACGTAATATTTGAGATTTGAGATAATATTTTATTATTATATTTGAGAGTCCGGGAATGCTGCTCCCCTTTAACTCCCCTTGTCCCCAGCCCCTTGCCACCCACTGCCTTGTTGATCTGCTTCAGTAAGATTGGCCCATTCTAGAAGTTGGTATAAGAGAGTTCTCGTGAGAGGGATGGCCCCCAGGTAATGTCCATCTTCCTCTCTCCAGGCTCCGAAAAGCGACCATCTCTCAGATTTGAAGCTGAAAACATCTCCAACTACACAGCCCTTCTGCTGAGCAGGGATGGCAGGACTGTGTACGTGGGTGCCCGTGAGGCCCTCTTTGCTCTCAACAGCAGCGTCAGCTTCCTGCCAGGCGGGGGGTACCAGGAGGTGAGATGCTGCCAGGGCTGACTAGGCTGGGCAGAGGAAGGCAGTTGGGAAGATGGACAGGAAAATGGACCTTCTGGGTCCAAGGATGATGCAAGCGGGAGGGGAAGGAAAAGAGAGGCATATTCTTCATTCCCATTTGCACTTTCCTTCCCCTTTCTCATTCCCCAGCTGCTGTGGAGCGCTGATGCCGAGAGGAAACAGCAGTGCAGCTTCAAGGGCAAGGACCCACAGGTGAGCTGGCCCCTGGGGGCTGAAGGAGGGAGGAAGGCAGGAGGGGGGAGCAGATGCAGCCAGCTGCGGTGGAAAGGGCATAGGCTTCTGAGAGGGCCAGACCTGGGGTTGAATCTCAGCCCTGCATTTAATATCTCTGTGACCTTGGACAAGTAGATTTGCCTGTCTAAGCCTTATTTTACTTAGGATTCAATGAGCTAATAGGTATAAAGTACCTGGTACATAATAAGTGCCCAGATAAACGTTGGCTTCCAGGATGAGCAGTGACTGGGTTGGCGTGGGAGTCTGTTCCTCTGAAGATGGTGCCTGACGTGGCAGGTCTGACAAAGTCGGGTTTGGTTTTGGCCAGACCACTGGGTGGGGGCTGGACCAGCCTGGGGTTCTTCTGGAGGACTCCCCACCATTCCCAGAGGCTTGCTGGTCCTGAGTGCAGGATGGGGAGGCGAAGTTGAGGGCAGAAGAGCACTGGTCTTGGAGTCAAGACACAGGTTCAAGTCCTGATTTCTTTTATTCAATAAAAATGTATTAAGCACCTGCTCTGTGCCCGGGTGCTTTTAGACACTGGATATATCATTGTGAACAAGAAGAAATCAGTCTGTTTGAAAAGTGGTCACATTACACTTCATTAAAAAAGTGACATTTGAGCCAAGATCAGAAGGAGGTGAGGGAATTGACCTGGAGAAGAAATAAGACTGTGGATCTTACTCGGAGTAAGGTATTTGGGGAACCACTGGCGGCTGAGCAGAGGAGTGACATGGTCTGACGTGCGTTTTTAAAGGGTCACTCTGGCCGCCATGGTGGAGAGCAGCCTCCATAGAGCGAGGACAGAGGGAGAGAGACCAGGGAGGGGCGAGAGGCCATGGTGGCTTGGACCAGGGTGTTCCAATAAAGGGAGTGAGAAATGCTCAGGTCCCAGGTGTATTTTGAAGATGAGGCTACCAGAATTTCCTGATGGAAAAACGAGGGGTGTGAGAGAGGAGGAGTTGAGGCTGGCTGTACGGTTTGGGGTCAGGAACTGAGAAGACAGAGTTGCCGTTAGTGAAAGGGGAAAGATCTCGGAGGAGAGAGTTTTGGGGGAACTATCAGAAGTTGGGTAGGAGATGCCTGTTGGGCCCTCTCAGAGGCAATCTGCGAGTCTGGGGTTCAGGGTTTCAGGGCTGTGTGTTTCCTCCTCCTCTGGGCTGTAGCTTCCTTACCAGGTGGGGCCAAGACATCTCAAAAGGGAGGGATTCTGTGCCTTCACCCCAGACTGAAAAGTTTTCCAAACAGAACTAGCTGAGCCCTGAGCTCCCCTTCCTGCACACATTTTTCCTGGTCCTCCATCTACACTGCCCTACGAGACTCCTGGATTCTCTTTTACTCTGGATTTTGAGTGCCAAGAGGCAGAGGCCTCACCACCACCCACCCCCACCCCAATCTGGCCTTGGTGGGAAGGACTCGGTGGTGCCCCCTGGTGGCTTGTTTGGGCCTGACACCCTCCTCCCTCCTCCAGCGGGACTGTCAAAACTACATCAAGATCCTCCTGCCTCTCAACAGCAGCCACCTGTTCGTCTGTGGCACAGCTGCCTTCAGCCCTGCATGCACCTACATTGTGAGTGCCCCCTCCTCACTCTGGGCTTGCCTGAGAACTACCCCTCCTTCTGCCCCTAGCACCGACCCCTGTTGAAGAGCAGGGCCCAGCAGCAGCTTCTTGGCAGCAGTGGGCCCTGAGAGCCCGGATGGCCGAATTGCCCTGTAGGGGATGGGGATGGGATTACTAGCGCACAAAGATTCTGGTGCACCCACAGTCTCGCCTGCTTGCTTCTTCCAGCTCTCTCCCCTGCTCTCGCTCAGTCACACCTGCCCACCTTGTCCACCCTCCTCAACTCACGCACACCTTTGCATTTCTGCCCTATGCACACCTTCACAGAGGATGGCGTTATGAGGGTGTGGTTTGGAGCACCAGCTTTGGAGTCAGACGTACCTGGGTTTGAATCATGTCGCTGCTCTTCCCTGGCTCACATCTCCTTTCTAAGCCTCCTCTCTTCTCTGCCAAGTGGGGCAATAGTGTCCACCACATAGGGTCACTGCAAGATGGGGCTGGCACCATGCCCTGGGTGCTGGGATGAGGAGGATGGCCTATCAGACACCTCCCTTCTCTCTGGCACACCCCACTCCTTTCCCACCGAGCCCACTCACTCCCTGACATGCCCCTGAGCTCTGCCGTCTGCTCCCCTGCAGAACATGGAGAACTTCACTCTGGCCCGGGACAAGGTGGGGAATGTCCTCCTTGAAGATGGCAAGGGCCGTTGTCCTTTTGACCCCAATTTCAAGTCCACGGCCCTGGTGGTTGGTGAGTGTTGGAGTCAGGGAACAGGGGGCTCACTGAGGCTCCATGTGGCGGGGGGCAGGGAGGGCTCTGGGTCTGAGCTGGTTGGTCCACACCAGGCTGATTCCCGGGGGGGGGCAGTGACCCTGGGCTGCCTTTGGATGGGCTTTTCTTAGTTCCTACTCCCTCCTCTGTCCATCTTGAGCAAGATGCGGAGCATTCGGGTCACTCCAGGCCCTGAGCGGGAAGGGGCCGTGCCGAGGGCCCATTCCCATGGGAATGTTCTCTTGGCAGATGGTGAGCTGTACACTGGAACAGTCAGCAGCTTCCAGGGGAATGACCCGGCCATCTCCCGGAGCCAAAGCCTCCGCCCCACCAAGACCGAGAACTCCCTCAACTGGCTACAAGGTGATGTCTTCCCACCACCCACCAGTGGGCAGTCACGGGAGCCCTCAGGAGGGGCCCTGTCTCCCCAGCAGGGCCTGAGAACAGAGTCTTGCCTATCTGGGATTCTTGGGCTGACTGTGCTCCCCACTGGCCCCCACAGACCCAGCGTTTGTGGCCTCAGCCTACATTCCCGAGAGCCTGGGCAGCTTGCAGGGGGACGACGACAAGATCTACTTCTTCTTCAGCGAGACTGGCCAGGAATTTGAGTTCTTTGAGAACACCATTGTGTCCCGCATCGCCCGCATCTGCAAGGTGAGGGGGGCGGGCCATCCCAGAGACCCTGCATGTGGCTTTCTCCTGTCCTTCACAAGGAACGGCCTGGCTACTGACTTTTCTCTCTCTCTTGTTATAATGTCTCCATTTGTTTTCTTCTTACTTAAAAAAATGTGAAAATACAGGAAAATACACACAAAAATCACTTACAAGATAAAGAGGCAGCACGATACTGTGATGAAGAGCATAGACTGGAGCCAGGCTGCCTGGGTGCAAACCCTGCAGGTCGTGTGATCGTGGGCAGTTAATTTCTTTACTGAGAAATTAGTTTCCTCCTCTGTTCAGTGGGAATCATAACAAAACTCCCTCAGGGTTGTTAGGATCTGTGGAAAGCTTCTAGGAACATGGTAAGCAATAACTAATTATTGATTGTTGGGGTTATAATCCCACCATCCCATCACAATAAGTGACCACTGTTAACATTTTAGAATGTTCCTTGCTAATCCTTTTGTTTTTGCATATGTATAAATACATATGTATTTATATTATTTAAAACCATTGACTCTTCAGTTCTTTAGCTTCCCTTTTTGCTCAGCAGTGAATCATTCATGGACAGACTCCCCTTCGTCCTTTCTCCTGGCATCCTGCAGTAAAGAAAGCACTCTGTTTACTTGGCCAGCCTCCTGGTGACAGGACCTGTATGCTGCAGCCTCAACCTTCTTAATTTGAAACGGAACTCAGGCCTCGCTTTGTGTCTGTCTCAGCCACCACTGAGGAGGGGCCAGTAAGGGACACCAAGCATCCCACTCTTGCTTGAGCCTAACCCCGACCTCTCTCTTCCTCTCCCAGGGCGACGAGGGGGGCGAGCGGGTCCTGCAGCAGCGCTGGACGTCCTTCCTGAAGGCCCAGCTCCTGTGCTTGCGGCCTGATGATGGCTTCCCGTTCAACGTGCTGCAAGACGTCTTCACACTGAGCCCCAGCCCCCAGGACTGGCGTGACACCCTCTTCTATGGGGTCTTCACATCCCAGTGGTAGGGCCCCCAGGACCCAGCTGGGAAGGGGTGGGGGGACAAGGGGTGGCTGGGATTGGGGCCCAGGAGCCAGCCTCTGGGCCCTGCTGGCCTCATTGTGAGCCCCAGGGCTACTGGGCTAATCCAGCCACTTCCTTTATAGGCACAGGGGGACCACAGAGGGCTCTGCTGTCTGTGTCTTCACCATGAGGGACGTGCAGAGGGCCTTCAATGGCCTCTACAAGGAGGTGAACCGTGAGACGCAGCAGTGGTACACCGTGACGCACCCCGTGCCCTCGCCCCGGCCGGGCGCGGTGAGTGCTGCTCCCTGCACCAGGGCAGGGTGCTGGGAGGATGGGTCTCCACACCATGCTGGGGTCACTTGCTTTCTCTGAGCCACTTTCTCATCTTGAAAGTGGGGACAACGCCCAGGCCTGCTTGTCTTTCTGGGTTCGATGTAACCACGAATGTTGAAATGACTTCAGAGCTCCCTTCAGGGTACTGACTGCACATGCCTCTCGCCACCCCACTGCTGTGAGCTCCTTATTTAGTTATTAAGTGACTGAATGGCAGGCTGTGGGGAAATAGTCCTTTCTTCTTTCCTTCCAGTCCAGTGGGCTTCTCACCAAGCAGCCCTTGAGATAAGGATGAGTGCCTGCAGTTCTATGGGAGGTGATCCCAGGAAGCAGCAGGAGGAAACAGGGAAGGGGAGGAGGGGGCAGAGCTAATACCACTGTGCGCACCTGGAGCTCAGTCCCTGGGGCCCTGAGAGGCTTCGTGGAGCATATCTCAGCGTTGTCCCACTGGGGTGTTTATCACCAACGCCTGTGACTTGGCGGTCGAGGGTCACTGCGGGGTATCAATTCTTGGGGCTTTTACAGAGAATGCCCTCAGGCAGAGAGAGTCAGGAAACTCCCGGCAGTATGGGAACTAACTGCAGGCGCCCTCATGCCCCTACGCTAGGAAGCCTTGGTCAGCCTGGGCTTCCTGAGAGCGCTGGAGAGAGGAAGCTACAGGAGCAGGAAGTGTGGTCACGCTTCTTGAGGCCTGGGGCTGGGGGATGGGGGGAGTGGACAGGAAGGAGGGGTGGTGGGTGGGCAGAGAGGGGAACCCTGGCAGCTGGGGTCCTTGGGTGCCCCATACCCTTGGTTTTGCTCCTGGGCCTCCAGACCAGCACATCGGCTCCACAGAACTGCGAGTGCTGTGCCATGGCTCCTGGGTGGGGCAGATACCCCTGCTGTCCACTGGAGAGGCAGGGCTGGCAGTGCTAGCAGGATCTGCAGGACCCCCATCCTGCTGGCTGCCCTGAGTGCCACTCACCTCAAGCTACCACCTTCTCCTTCAGTGCATCACCAACAGTGCCCGGGAAAGGAAGATCAACTCGTCCCTGCAACTCCCCGACCGGGTGCTGAACTTCCTCAAGGACCACTTCCTGATGGATGGGCAGGTCCGCAGCCACCTGCTGCTCCTGCAGCCCCGGGCCCGCTACCAGCGTGTGGCGGTCCATCGCATCCCTGGCCTGCACCGCACTTACGACGTCCTCTTCCTGGGCACCAGTGAGTGCCCACAGTGGGGCGGGCTTGGAGTCACGGGGGCCTGGCTGTCGGGACGTGGGGAGCAGGGCCTGAGTGCTGTCCGTGTTGCAGGTGATGGCTGGCTGCACAAGGCAGTGAGCGTGGGCTCTGGAGTGCACATCATCGAGGAGCTGCAGATCTTCTTACCAGGACAGCCTGTGCAGAACCTGCTCCTGGACACTGACAGGGTGAGCAGGCAAAGGAAGAATCCAGGTGGAGTGCCCCACTGCCCCAGCAAGATGGAGAGATCCAGGCTTATGGCATAAGCTATCAGCACGTGGGGGCCCAGAGCACGAGAGGAGGCCCCTTGGGGGGTGGCTTTGGTGGGCACTTGAGCCGGATGTGACTCTGGGTGGTGGCCCTGGCTGCCTGTGCCTGCCTCTCATCCCCCGTGTCTGTGCAGGGACTGCTGTATGCTGCCTCACACTCTGGCATGGTCCAGGTGCCCATGGCCAACTGCAGCCTGTACCAGAGCTGTGGGGACTGTCTGCTCGCCCGGGACCCCTACTGCGCTTGGAGCGGCTCCCACTGCAGGCACATCAGCCTCTACCAGCCTGAGGTGGCCTCCAGGTGAGAGCTCCTGAAGGCTCCTCCCACTTGCCCATCCTTATGCACCAGGCTTCCAAGTGCCTTCCCCAGGCCCTCTGTAGAATCACCACAGCCTCATTTGTGTCCACGGTCTTGGTGTAACTATCAGTCAGCTTCCCTTCTGACTCTCAAAAGTGTTGTAGTTCAGATTATGTTTGCCTTACCCATCTGTAAAGCAGAGACAAGGTTTGGTAAATTATGAAATGTTACAGTTATGAAAAGCCTTGCAGGAGAATGTGGATTGTCATGTGAATGAGGTTAAGTAACAAAAAGTAAGGGCTGTGTAACAGTCCGTTAACAAACCCATTAAAAATTACTTTCAGAATCACTTATTTAGATTTAAAATATAGATTTAAAATATAGATATCTTAGAAAACAGAAATAAGCACAAAGAAAATAAAAACTACCCTAATCTACCACCTACAGAGACTCACAGTGAGATTTTGATACACATCCTCCCAGATTTTTCCATGTATGTGTAAAATAAACAAAAATAAAAATGGGATCTGTCTCATTTGTAGTGTCCATGTTTCACTTGGAGATTCCAGTTCCAGTTTTATATTTCAAAAAACCAGTATGAGTACACATATGTACACCTGAAGCGACACACCAAAAAATGCTACCTGCCATTATCACTGCATGGTGGATTGTGATTTTTGTAATGTTGTTAGCCTTTCTGCTTGGTTGAGTTTTTCAGATTTCCTGAAAAACAAATCAGTGTATGTGCATTGCTTTAAAAGAGACAGACAGGGGAGGGTATAACTCAACTGGTAGAGCACATGCTTAGCATATACAAGGTCCCCAGTACCTCCTCTAAAAATAAATAAATAAGTAAACCTAATTACCTCCCCCCAAAAAGTAAAACTAAAAAAATTTTAAGAGATATATACATTCATGCAGCTCCAGCTGTCCTTCCAGACTTTTTTTTAAGGGCTCATACTGCTTTTGTAAGTCAGGAAAATATTACAGTAACTTTTATTTGAATTAAGTACTGTGTGGATGGAGTATGCTAGCTCAACCCAGCGAGGTGGGGAAGTCATTTGCCTTTCACCTCTGCTTTGGACCTGGTGGTCCCTGAGCCTTTCCCCAGGCCCGTGTCTGCAGGGCCGTGTGAGGGCCTCCACTGTACTGAGGGTGGGGAAATGCAGGCTCATGGCGGGTTCCTGGCCTATCCTAGACTCTCTTTGGTTCTCAGGCCATGGATCCAGGACATTGAGGGGGCCAATGCTAGGGACCTCTGCAACACTTCCTCCTCCAAGGGCCGATCTTCTGTAACAACAGGTAAGGTGTCCCATCTAAGGGTAGAGGAGAGGCGGGGCCAAGTCTGCCTAGAGGGCTCCTGCAGGCAGTGATGGGTATAAATGCCTTTCCTCACTTCCTCATCCTTCCAGCCCTACAAGCAGGGCCCTGGCAAGTGAGACCCACAGTCCTCAAAGTCCCAGTGTTGCCGTCAAGAGTACAAGGAGCTGGGTGAGCCTGGGGATGCTGTGGACACCAGCCCCGCTTTACCCTGTACTGTCCCTCTTCTGCCGGCAGGTGAGAAGCCATGCAAGCAAGTCCAGTTCCAGCCCAACACGGTGAACACCTTGGCCTGCCCCCTCCTCTCCAACCTGGCAACCCGGCTCTGGCTGCACAATGGAGCCCCAGTCAATGCCTCGGCCTCCTGCCGCGTGCTGTCCACTGGGGACCTACTGCTGGTGGGCAGCCAGCAGGAGCTGGGGGTGTTCCAGTGCTGGTCACTGGAGGAGGGCTTCCGGCAGCTGGAGGTCAGCTACTGCCCAAAGGTAGTGGAAGAAGTGGTGGCAGACCGAGCAGACCAGAGCGGCAGTGTGCCTGTCATCATCAACACATCCCGAGTGAGCGCACCGGCCGGTGGCAGGGCCAGCTGGGGTGTGGACAAGTCCTACTGGACCGAGTTCCTGGTGATGTGCGCGCTGTTTGTGTTTGCCATGGTGCTCCTCATTTTATTCTTCCTCTACCGGCACCGGGGCGGCATGAAAGTCTTCCTGAAGCAGGGGGAGTGTGCCAGCGTGCACCCCAAGACCCGGCCTGTGGTGCTGCCACCTGAGACCCGGCCGCTCAATGGCGTGGGCCCCCCTAGCACCCACCTCGACCACCGAGGCTACCAGGCCCTGTCAGACAGCTCCCCAGGGCCCCGGGTCTTTACAGAGTCAGAGAAGAGGCCGCTCAGCATCCAGGACAGCTTCGTGGAGGTGTCCCCAGTGTGTCCCCGGCCCCGGGTCCGCCTGGGGTCTGAGATCCGGGACTCCGTGGTATGAGAGCAGACTTCCAGAGGCGGCCACCCTCTGGGGGCCGGGAAAGGTTAGAGGAGTTCGCTGGACCTCTGCTCCTCATGGACCACCACCGTGGGGCCCAGCCCCTGGGAATGATGGAGCCAGCCGGCCTGCTGCCAAGTAGCAAGGCCCCCTCCATGCCAGACGGCCATGGCCCCACAGGTCCTGGCTGAAGATGGGGGCCTGCCCAGGTGGGCAGAACAGTGCTCCTTATGTAAACTGAGCCCTTCGTTTAAAAACAGTTGAAAATGTGAAACAAGAGTGAGAAGAGTGAGAGACAACACAGGAGTGCCACGCACACAGCCAACCCAGTTCGCAGCCTCCCAGCCTCGTGGGGGCCTTGGGCTCACCCAAAGTGGTTGCTGGAGACACCAACTGGCCTCTTCTACCTTCAGCCTTACCCTACTGCCACAGGCTGCTCCTCACTGCAGAGCCGGGGCCATCTGGGCTCCGGTGGGTCCTCCTGTGCCAGCTAGCCAGGTTGTTGCAGCTGTCATCCCGTCACCTCAGGGACCGGAGGGCCGTGCTGGCACCACAGCCCTCAGGAAGCTCTGGGCCTGGACCCACCTCCTGGACCTCTCCGGCCTGTATCAGGCTGTGGCCACAGGAGAGAGGGCAGCGTGAGCCCAGGAGAGAGTACGTGACAATGCTTACCTTCGCTCGGAATTCCAGGAAGAGACGGTTGCCTGCCTTCCTCTATCCCAGCCTACAAACTTGTGTTCTTTTCCTCACACCCACCCTGGCCTTATCTTCAAACCCAGTCCCCCAGTTCACCCCGACACCCTGCCAGCCTCCACTCTAAGGGATGTTGACACTGCCCTGAGCACAGGGGCCCTGAGTTCATGTGGGTTTTATATTTTTTCTAATAAGATGCACTTTACATTTTTTTTAATAAAATCTAGAATTGAAATTGAATCATGGCCC